TTTTACTATGTATTTTAAGAAGCAATCTGCAGTTTAACTCCAAATGCCTGAGAATATTTTTTGATGCAATATTGTTCTTGTCGTCAATCATGCATTGTAAGAAACCACAACCAGCTAAGAATTACAAGTTTTTTTTTCTAACCATCCTTTTTATGTTGGTTGTTAGGCTATGAATTAGCAGTTACTTGCATACAAAAGGTTCTGTATGTTTTTGTTCATGATCAGGGAAGAAATTTTAGATAAATATAAATCATTACTCAGCTTTTTTAAAAAAATCTTTCACCACTGGCAACTATACAATGACCTTTTGCTGCCTTCTCCTGCATCTGGAGTTAATCTCGTGTGAAATGTGTCAAACTTTTAAAAGATGTTGTGCTCCACCTGCTATCGTCTTTCAAGCACATGGAATATCATCAAAGGCACTGAATAAATCAAATTAGTCAGATTTAGGAGATTCCCACTTACATCTCTTCTGAGAACAAGAAAATGTGGTGTAGATTGAAGATCTAATCCACATTCCACTTTGCATCGTAGAACAGAAAATTTACTTAAAGTACGCCATGACATTAACAACTTATGGTTAGTCCTTTAGTTAGGACTAGTCCTTTTAAAAGGAGTTAGTCCTTTTCTAGTTTCTTGTCTAAGAAATAATGTTCTGCATTTAACTCAATGCACTAAAATGAATTTATGATAATTCTAGAAATTCCAACTGAAAATTTTCAGGAAGCATGTAGAATAGTTTTGCATGATTCTTCCCTCTTAACCTGTATTATCTCATAATGCACTGTGCAGTTTAAATATCGAGTAGAATTTATTTCTGCTCTTCTTATCAATAGAGCACATAATGTGTAACGCTTCACTTCTGTTGTTACGTTTTTACAACTTAACATTTTCCAAGAAGATATGTGGTTGCATTTCATTAACATAATTTATTTTGTCTTCATGACTCCATATGATTGATTTTCTACTATTTACAGTAATAATCATGGTTTTTCTTATTCTGGACTGCTAGTTTGGTCCACTGTTTCATTTATATTTATAGTCTGGATTTTATCATGGCCTTTGAAACCAATGTCCACACCGACTGGGGGTTCAGATTCGCATAAACAGGGATCAAGCACTGTCAAAGCTTTCTTCCTTAAGGTGGTATTTTAATTTTTTTTTTCTTCATTCATTTATGGGATGAGGGCGTAGGCAGTATTTATTGCCCATCCCTAATTCCCCAGAGGGCAGTTAAGAGTCAACCACGTTGCTGTGGGTCTGGAGTCACAAGTAGGCCAGACCAGGTAAGGATAGTAGTTTCCTTCCCTAAAGGACATTAGTGAACCAGATGGGTTATTTTTCCAACAATCGATAATGGATTCACAGTCGTCATTAGACTCTTAATTCCAGATATTTATTGAATTCAAATTCCACCATCTGCTGTGGCGGGATTCAAACCCAGGTCCCCAGAGCATTATCTGTGTCACTGAATTAACAGTCCAGTGAAAATACTACTAGTCCATCAGCTCCCCTATGTCTGGCTCAATGTTCACCTTAAATTAAAGGATGGATAGCAGACTACTGATGCAGCCAGGCCCCTTGATAGCTTGCACTGTAGTAAAAAATTAAAAGGGGTTCAGGCTAAAGGGCTCAGATGGATGGATGGAAGAACAACTTTTCGATAGGTTGTTTTCAAGCTTTTATGCATGTAGCTCACACTTTGTAACATTGAACTACTGGCTCAAGCTTGCAGAATGGAGGGTGCCTCTCTTGAGCTGATCTCCACACCTGGTGGAAAACTGCTCAAATGCTGACGAAGTGCCAGTTAGGCATCAAAACCATCCCTAACCAAGGCCATATTTGTCAATTCTCTGCCCACCCCCACTGCCATCGTACAGGCAGCAAACTGTTTAACAGATGGCCACTGGGAAACTTCTCTAGTGCTAGTCATGCATTAGGGAGCTATCATCACACACACAGACACACACAGTCTTTGTATGCCTCTCAGTATGATTGTCATTTCCTTCTATATATCTAGATATCCAGTCTTGGATTTCTCTTGGCATCCGGCTGATTTACTCGAATACTGTACCCTCTGTGGCTTAGGTAATAGATTTTATTTACTGAGTATGTCCTGTCAATGCTCTAGAGCAGGATGTCAGTGCCATCGATGTCACTATTTTGGTCCCCAGAACTGGAAATTGGAATTGGAAGAGGTGTACCCATTGCTGCTGATTCTGCCTCACCCTTTCTATTCTCCACTCCCTTCACTGAGCTGCTCACTACCCCATTCCATTCTCTGGTCCCCTCACTGTCCCATTGATGCCCAATCTCCATTCCCTTTGCCATTCTGCTCCTCATCCCTCTTGTTCTCTTTGCTGTGCTCACCCTATGATGAGTCCATGAACTTGCATTGCTGTATCAGTGATTTAATAACTGAATAACACGTTTCTATGAATTTATCAAAATTGGATCTCAAAACATATCTTTCAATGGCAGGGCTTGCATTATGGTAAGTTTGCTCCTGTAGTTGCGTACTTACATTTTTTAAAAATCATATCAGGTGAACTCCTTTTTTGCAATTTGTACTTGTTTGGTGAATATTGCAACTTTCAGGGAACTGGCAGTTCCAGGGAATTGCTACAATTGACTGTTCCAAAATCTTACCCTAATTTTCTAATCAACCTGTTGAGTGATGTTATTGAATAACTCTGGAGCATATAGGACTTGAACCTAGGTCTCACAGTTCAGGGGCAGGGACACTACCTCTGTGCCACAAGAGGGATGTCTTTAAAGCAACCTGTTTTGAGATATTTATTGCATGTCTCTGGAGTAGGTGGGACTTGAATTCAGGGTTCAATTCTGCCTAGAAATAGGGGTGAAGCATGTTGCAAGGTTGTCAATAGATTACCCATTCAGTTCAGGGGTCATTGAAGACAAAATCCTGGGTTACTGTTAGTTGGACAGGAAAACAGAGGCATGTTCCAAGGAACCATAAAGTTGTCTGCTGAGGAGCAAATTAGGAACATCAGCTCAGCGTAGTCAGAATTCAGAAAAACATTCTAGGAATCAGTAGTGGACAATTAATTATACAGTTGGGGCTTTGTGAAAAGACAATACCACCTAGAAAACTATGCAGTCAGACCTCAGGAGGAAGGTCTAAGAGTTAGTAGGCATTTACACATTGCAGTAAGAACTCAGACCTGGGAGCTGTAGGGGTTTGGAATAAAGCATGTGCCATTAATAGCTTGATGCAACTGTGAACAAGGGTGATCGAATCCAGAAGCATTATTTGCTTTGTGCAAAATAAAAACCAAAAGAATTGCGGATGCTGTAAATCAGGAACAGTCATCTGAAGAAGGGTCACTGGACCTGAAACATTAACTCTGATTTTTCTTCACATTAATTTGTGCAGCTGAGCATTAGGGTTCAAGAAAAGAAAAAAATCCAGGGGTAGTGCTAACTTTGTGAAGTTAGCTGCTTATGAAAAATCTGGAACCATGCTTGTAAGAGTTCCGGAATGCAGTCTCTGGACTTTCTGAAAACGTTTTCTCAGGAAAAGATGAACCATCAGAATGTGAGCAGTCATTAATTGAGACAGTCTATGACAAAGCAGCCCCTGAGGGATTATCAAAACCAGATCATCAAAAGTGAACAGTTTGGATTCCTTGTGAAGTTTTAATGAGATTTGGTGACTCACAGTGAAACAGAGAGAGACACTCCCGTGGAAGAAAAGAGCAGTTGGCAGTTGGGGAGAATTGCTGAGAAATCCATGGGACCTGTCCCAGTCATGTTTGTTATTTGACATGTTCTTTGGTCTGCTACCTTTATTTGCCTCATGCTATTTTTGGGATGTTAGAATATCTAGAATACAAGATAGACCTATCTTTGTACAACTTAAGCTTGTTTTGTCAGCAATATTTGTATGTATCTCTGAATAAGTTTTATTTGCCAATTCTTTGGTGAAAGAAACCTGGCTGAACGGTTTCTAATACTAGACCAGATGAAGTCTCTTAAACTTATAAACTTGGCCCCATCACTACTCGGGTAAAATTAATTTTTTTTTGTGAACCATCGGAAGAGTTGGACCAGAAGGCAATCAACACATTCCTGCAACCTCAGTAGTGAAAACCTTCACAGAAATAAATGTCTCATTAGCTGCTTGTGACACAGTAAAGAATCATAGTCGCAGGGAAACTGATTTGCTGCTAAATTTGAATTGCTATATACAAAAAAAAATTCTTAGGAATTGCACATTTTAAAGGCTCATGGTCCCACAAATTCATTCATTAGTAATTAGCCTGAAACCTTTTCATTCAAAGGGAGGGTGCTTTGACCATTTATGATAGGAGCATATTTTATGAATGCATCTGGCCATCCTGAATAATTTGATTTCTGAAACTATTTCCTCCCCATAATCTGCATTTTGTTAAATTTAAGAAATGAATTCACATACTTTTCCAATATTCCACAGATATTTTAGCATGTGTATATGGCTGGCTGTGTTCATTTGGGTTTCAAGAAGGGGCTTTTATACTTGTACTTAAATCTTGAGTTCTGAGGACGGGTCACCGGACCTGAAACTCTTGTTTTTTTCCTTCTCAGATGCTGCCAAATCTGCTGGGCTTTTCCAGCAACTTTTGTTTTTTATTCCTTTTATACTGTCTCGTCCTTCTCATATTCCAGATGAAACTACTACATTAATTTACTAACTGGAGTATGTGCTATATGATTGTTGTATTGTGATTGCACTTTCTTCAAGGATATACATCACTTGTAATTCATTGCATAATGCATGTTATCAGGAAGTCTCATCCTCCGGTAAACTCAAAACTTGCCAAACATTCTCAATTTCTGCCCAGAGTAATTGAATGTACGGAAACCGGCAGACTCTGTTCCTTTTAGGTTATATCACCCAGCAGTCAGCTTGAATTAGTGGGGTTCAATACACTGCTGGTTCTCTTGTTTTCTGCTGTAAGTGGTTGTTTTCTTACCTCTCTCCTTTCTTTATCTATTAGCTGGCAACGTTGGCCACAGGCATCATTCCAATTTAGCTGAAGACCAACATGACGCAAAGGACAGAAAAGTAAAAAATTGAAGGTACAGTCCTTGAGGAACCACCTCGTATCAGAATGTTTGTAGATATAAAAGGGTCTTTGGAGAATTTCACTCAATTGCTCCTACTGGGTGAGGCAAAATGCTCCTGTCAGCTGTTTGAAAGAGACATTGTTGGCTTTTTTAAAGCTTTGGCTTAGCATTATGATACAACAACACCAACCTGGATTTATGTACTACCTTTACAACATCCAAGGCTTTCCAGGGAGTTCTTTCAAACAAAATGAGACAGTGAGTCAGATAAGATAAATCAGATGACAAAAAGGTGGATCAAAGCTATATGTTTTAAGGAGTGTCTTAAAAGGGGGGAGGGGAGAGAGAGAGAGAAGGGGATAAAGAAATGGAAAGGTTTAGAAAAGAAATTCCAGTGTTTAGGGTATGGCTTCAGTCTTCCCAATATTTAGTTGGAGCTAAATTTTTCTTATCCAGTTTTGCATTTCTGGCAAACAGATTAACAAATCAAAGAAAATGGAAGATTTAAGAGTTGGAGTGAGGTGTGCGTGGGGGAATATGTAGATGGGAAATAGCAAGGATAGATCTTTGGGAGATTCCAATGTGACTTGTGAAAAGGAACAGTTGCAGTCTATGACTGGAGTGACGAGAGCAGAACTAGATGAAGGTGTGGTGTAGTGGACATTGGGGTGAATGGTCCAAACAGCTCAACAATAGGGAAGACTGTTGGACAGGGATGTTGTGATCAACTTGTCAAATCCTATGAACAAGTAGACAGAGAAGTACACTTGCTTTACTACAGTCATAGTCACAGAATTTTATCTGAGTCTGACTAGGGTAGTACAGTAAAAGAATGAAACCCTTATTGGGGAATTCAAAAATGCACAGTCTCTAGTAAGATTGGCATTGATTTCAGAGGTAACACATGTTCAAGGATTTTCAAAAGAACTGGGGACTAAGGATAGTGCAGTAATTTGCAAGGATTGAAGGCGCATGTTTTTAAATAGATGTGATGACGGCTGAATTGAAGAGGAGTGAAAAGTATTTGAGGAGAGGGAAACATTAAAGTTATTGACTAATTTGGGAGCCAGACAGAGAAGGGGAAGGCTCAATGGGTGGGTGCATTGACTGACAACAATACTTTATACTGTTAAACATCCCCCTCCCTGTGTAATAGATGGGGGTGCCTGTCCATTCTTGGTTTGGTGAGTAGCACTGCTCATTTGGACAAACTAAAGCCCAACCAATGAGTGAAAGAGGTGCAATTATCTTTCTTATCTCTATGGTCTTCTTTACAACAATCAGTGAACTGAGATGTTTGTGGATGTCTTCACCTACTGTCTTCTCTCTGTCCCTGTGTTTTGTGTTCACTTCTTGTGCGAGGGGCAAGAGAAAAGACCTGTTAATGATAGAAGGTACATGTATTCATCTGAATTAAATTCCTGGTAAGTGCAGCATGCTCCTTCCTCATAATGCTGCAGAAAAATATTTCCCTCATACTTCCTCAGAGATCATAAGAACTGCCGATGCTGGAGTCAGAGACAACAGTGTGGAGCTGGAGGAACACAGCACGCCAGGCAGCATCAGAGGAGCAGGAAAGTTGATGTTTTGGGTCGGGACCACTTCTGAAGAAGGGTGCCAACCCAAAATATCAACTCCCTCATACCTCTTGCCTGCTGTCAACAATTTCCACAGAATTATCATTAAAACTATTTGCAAGACTTGCCCACTCTGAATCCTCGTTTTGCTAATTGTCTCAGTTTTCTTTTCAAGACTCCCCAAATTCAAAAACCTTGATTTTTGCACTCTTACTTTAAATAATTGGTTTGAGATTACTTCATTTGATTGCATATCGTACTTACTGCCCATCTTAGAGATGTGAACAATGCAGAGAAAATGCAAAATTGGCAAGGTATATGCTCCTGGGCTATGCAGAAGTAATCCCTCCTTCTCTCCCTCTCCTCATCTCCAGATACCACCACCACTTGGAATCCTCCTCTTGTCTTAATATTTAGACTATAGAGATGGCAGCACAAAATTAGGCTGATATATTCTCCAACTAATCTTCCACACAAGCCTCCTCCTACCCCTTTTCATTCAACTCATTAGCACATCCATGTTTTTCTGCCTTGCAATCATGATGGAGTACTCCCCAATTGCCTGGATAAGTGCAGCTCCAACAACACAAAAAAAACTTGACACCATCCAGAAAAAGCAGCTTGATTGAATAGCGTCTCATGCAACACTGTCAAAATTTAGTACCACCATCACAATGCGTAGTAGCAGCAGTGTGTACCATCTAGAAGATGCTCTGATACAGATCTCCCAACTAGAAGGTCAAGGGTAGCAGATTCATGGGAACATCACTACATGTAAGACACCCAACAAGCCACACATGATCCTGACCTGGAACTATATCAGTGTTCTTCCAGAGTTGCTGTGTTCAAATCCTGGAACTCCCTTCCTAACAGTATTGTGGGTGTCCCTACATCCTAAATACTGCGTTGCTTTAAAAGGCATTTAGCCACAATCGTCTCCAGGGCAATTGGGTATGGGCAATAAATGCTGGTCTAGTCAGTGACACCCACGTTTTGTGAACAGATTAAAAAAAAAAGGAAATTGGAAGATGTTGAAGGTGAAGAAATGCATGGCTCTGGTGACCTTGATGGCAAAGCATGGTCACATTGCAGGGGGTCTTGTTCTAGGAGTTAGCTCTGACCAACCACGAAATTCTGAGTGTCCAGAAGTGCTGCAGCTCAATATGTGCAGTGAGTTGATTCTCTTTATGCAATATTCCATTGAATTATCAGCTTCATCTAGAATGAGGTTTGTCAGCATCCTTTGAGCCTATGAAGTAATATGTATGTAAAGAGAGCAGCTATTGGTGCTCATGTGGTTCTTGTTGCTTGTGGCATAGTTAGTGTTGATGTTGCTGCTCCTCGTGTCTATCATCAGCTGAAGAAGCTGTTTCAATACTGCAAGGAAACTGAGTAAATTCCAAGCTTTTAAAAGTAACTTGAATAAAATTGGAAATCACTTGTAAAGTTCTCTCTCAGAATAGCACAGAAAGGGTAGCAGCTACACAGTTCCACTTTTCAAAGGCTTTCCAATTTGTCAATTTCATTGAGCAATCAATACCTGCCATGTTGATTCTGGTAAGTTTTCACAGCACGGGAAGACACTGCAATTGCTGTTCAAGACAGTCTAATTATATTGCTCTTTTGGATGTTTAAATTAGGGACTTGATTGCTTCAATAGGGGTGTTTGAAACATCTGAGGACACAACAATAAAATCCAAGAAAGTAGATGGGACCTTGTTTCAATGTTTCAACTTTTGATGAAGGCACCCTCAGTTTTCAGTGATCCAAGAAACAACAGCATTATATTCACGATTCTAACAAGACGAACTTTGTGGGGAAATTAACTTTCACTCCACCTCCTCAATGAACTCACTGCCCTCACAAAAACTTACACAAACCCACCCTTCCCACCATTACCATTTCACTTAACATTCTATGCAATATGCTGCCTGGTCCTTGGAGTGAGTTCTATCTGGGCAGAATGGATGATTCAGTTTTATTCATCACACATCATAACTGGCACTTATTTTCAGCACAATGTTGGTGGGCCCTTATTCCAGAATAAGTTTACTTTATGAAATATTTTCTGGTTCTTTATTTATTTATTTGCAGTTCTGGTGTGCCAAATTGCGGTCCAGAATATTTTCTTTGCACAAATGACTGATTATTAGTGAGTCTAATTCATTTATTCATGCTAGAGAGTATCCAGATTTTTATGCTCTTCCTGTTTGGTGGGATTCCAACAAAATGTAGAGTTTAATTTGAAGAGTTAATGCATAACTTCAAATAATCAAGTATTCATAATTATGAAAACAAGATGCACCAATGTATGTAAAGTGTACTTTTTTAGAAATCTTGTCATTTTTGGCCAAGTTGTAGTACCTACATCTCTGTTTCATTGTATCTTCAAATCCTACTGCACGATTGGAGCATATTAATCTCAGTTGCGACTCCTGTGACATACTGAGGTGCCATCATCAAAAGTTGAAAAGTTGAATCAAGATCCCATCTACTTTCTGAAGTAGATATAAAGACCCCATGATTCTTTAAGAACTGCAGGAGAGCGCTCATGATGTGATTACAGGGATAGATTTTCACCAAAACAAAAATAATTTAATTCTGTTTATTTTGATGTTTACAGGAGCTTGGTTTATGCAAATTAGTTGCTGTATTTGCCTACATCGTAAGTGTATTTCAATAGTACTTTAATGTCAGTGAAGTGCTTTTTGAGCATTCTGAAGTTGTGATCAAGTATCATATAAATGTTTTTTCTGGTATTAAACAATTTAACATTTTAACAAATCTTTTACAGCTGCTAGTTCTGTTTCTCAGAGATGAAAATGGCTTCTACTTCAGCTGTTGGTAATTTGAAAGAAGAATTAAATTGTTCAATTTGCTGGAATATTTACACAGAACCAGTTTCATTGTCCTGTGGGCATAATTTCTGTCGTAGTTGCATTGAAAAGAACTGGGACAAAAAAGACACAGGGCTTGGTTACTCTTGTCCAGAATGTCGAGCTGAGTATGCTCAAAAGCCTGTGTTACACAAAAATTTGAAACTGAGTAACATAATAGAACGCTTTGAAGCCACACAGATGAATGAAGAACCACCAAAAATCTTCTGTGATTTCTGTTTGGATAATCCCCTCCCTGCAGTGAAAACATGTATGAACTGTGAAGCATCTTTATGTGAGCATCATTTGAGAAAACACTCTGAGAAAACTGCTCAGAAAAATCACCTATTGATTGAACCTGCAAGTTCACTAGAAGACAGAAAATGTTCAGATCATGAGAAGCTCATTGAATATTACTGCCTAGATGACCATTCCTGTATTTGTGTGACATGTTATGTTGCAGGCCCGCACAAAAATCATGACATACGCATTCTGAAAGACATACACAATGAGACAAAGGTAAGAAAATATTGTATTATATTGCTAAAATTAAAAAAAACTCATCAATTAAGTATACTCCAACAGATTCAATTAGGTTTTACTCTCAATAGTACAGCAGTCTTTTTATAAACAGGCCAGCCTTTCTGAAAAACTGGAGAAGCTGCAGAGTTGCCGAGCAACTTTAGAGGAAGCTACAAAGGAATTGCAAGGAACTGAAATGAACTTAAAGGTATGTCCCATAATGTGCTTATTCTGAAAGTATCCATCTGATTTTTGATAAGTTCATGAGTACAGTAGGCAAGCGTTGTTTGGTATCGCCTAATTGCCTGTACATTGTAGACTTATTGATTTAAGATTCAAACGTTTGGGATTTTAGGGGTAATTCACATATTGCTAGCTTTGGTACCTGAAAGGAACCATGTTGCTCTCTCAACTTTACTTTCCTGTCTATACCCCAGAAATTTGATTCCCTTGTCTACCAAAAGTCCAATTCGGCTTTGGATAAAGTCAATGACCCAGGTCCACTATTTTCTTGGAAAGAAAATGCCACGGTGTCATGACTTACTGAAAGAGGGGGGGAAAAAAACCTCCTCATTCGGTTTAAAAGTGAACCTTCTTATTTTTAAATGTATTTCTGAGTTCTAGTTTCTCCTGTAAAGTGAAACATCCTGCCAGAACTTACATTTTAAAGTCTAACATATTTCAATAAGATCATTTTTTTTGTTCTTCCAATCTTCAATAGATAAAGGCCTAATGTGCAAGGTAAACCATTCATACTAGGGATTTGTCAGTAGCCTTCTTTGAGCTCCTAATGCAATTATATCCTTTGTTCAATAAGGATACCACAATTACACACAGTTCTAGTATGTTCTTACCAATGTCCTATACTGCTGCAACAAAGTTGTCCCACTCTCTATTTCCCTTGCAATAAACATCATTCAATTAACCTCCTTCGTCATTTGCTGCACCTACAAACTAATGCTTTGATTCATGTACCAGGATGTCCGGGTCTTTCTGTAATTCCAAGTTTTGCTATCTCTCTCTGTTCAAATATTTACTTTTTTACTTTTACTGCCAAAATGGACAAGTTGACATTTTTCCAAATTCTCCTTCATCTGCCACTTTCTTTTTGCATGCTCACTTAACCTTGTCTTAAGGGATACATTTACAGACATTTTAACCTCCCTTTTCGCAACTTACTTCCTTGTCTATCTTGAGTCATTGGCAAATTAAGCCAGTATACATTTGGACTCCTATCCCAGCCATTCATATAAATTGTAAGAGTTGAGGACCCAGCACTGATCCCTGGAGCACTCCACTGGTTACAATTTGTCAATCTGAAAAAGACCCTACTGTCCTCTCCTTGTCAGCGAACCAACCCTTTTTCTCTATGTTAGCCTTTACACCATGAATTTTTATCCTGTGTTGCATCTTATCAAATGTCTTTTGGAAATCTAAGTCCACACCTACAGGTTTCCCCTTTATCCACCTTGCTTGTCACTTCCTTATAGAATTCTAGCAAATTAGTGATTAACAATTTCCCTTTCATAAACAATGTTGTCTGTGCTTGATTTTCTAATTATTGTGCTATAACATCCTTTAACGATCAGTTCTAGCATTTTTCGTGCATGTAGTTTTTTGCTCTCTTTCTCCCTCTGTTCTTTAATAATGCTGTTACATTAAATATTTCCAGTCACTGCAATCCAACCAGAATCTAAAACCTTATGTAAGAAATTTGGAAGAAAGTAGTGAAATAGGCTCAGAAATAAACATTTTGAAGCAGAATTTCCAGGACACACTTTTCTTGCCTAATGTTAGCATAAAATCAAAGAACATCCTGAAGAAATAGGTTACACAGCTATTTGGGGTGATTTGCGTAGCTAACATGAAGAACTTCTGCTGAAATTTCAATGATCAGTTTTACTTGCTCTATAATCAAAATAAAGCAAGACAACCAACTGTGTTCTTACATTCTTTGGAATTATCTAAGAGCACAATCTTTTAGAGGTCTGAATGACAGGGGCTATGTTGAGAAATGTGACAGAATTGCACAAAATGTCCAATCAGACCTATAGTGACACCAGGAGCAACTTGCTGCATCTTTTAATTAAATTGCAAGCATTCAGGTGAGATTCTCACTAAGCAGAATCACAGTTCCAATGAAGGAGGATTATTTCTTGTTAATGAACTTATTAACAGCACATCTGGCCTCATTAATGCACAATTGCCTATCCTACCCCCAACCCCCTACCCCTGCCCTGCAAGCTAACTAGATGCTGAGAATTCTCGATAAAGAAGTCAGAGGGGGTACCCGGTGACTTCACCACTGGTTGCAAAGAGCCTTTACTACGATCAACACACAATTGCATCTTAGGGCATGAGCCTCGTGCACCCTGCATCAACAAGCATTTACATCCAATAATTGCCAAACCCTCAGAATCCTCATGGCACCTCTCCAATCTATTTGCATGTTGCTCAGTAAGTACAGACCTGTATTGCAGAGGGCCCCAGCAACTGGCATTAAAAGGTTGGTGCAATTCATTGCTTGCAGGACCACCCAGCCAGCTCTTTTTTTTTTTTTTTTTTTTTTTTTTTTTAAATTAAATTCACTCATGGAACGTGGGCTTTGCTGCCTGGCCAGCATTTATTGCCTGTCACTAGTTGTCCTTAGAAGGCAGTGGTGAGTTGCCTTCTTGAACTGCTGCAGCCCCTGTGCCGTAAATAGACCCCTCTGGGAGATTCTGGTCCACTCCTCTTCCATTTGCAACATCTCTCCACACACCACAAAATCTTACCTTGCAACTATACAAGGTGTAACTCCTGCCCATTTACCTCCCACCACTTCAACATCTGAAGTCCCAAACACACGTCCCTGTGAAACAGCGATTTACTGCACTTCATTGGATCTAGAATGGTCTCCACTGGGGAGATGAAACACAGATTTGGGTGACCACTTTGCAGAACGCCTACGTTCTGTTTGTAAAAGTAATCCTTAGCTTCCAGTTGCCTGCACCATCAATACACCACCATGTTCCCTGGCTTTCATTTCTGTTGTAGGCCTGCTGCAGTGCTCCAGTGAGCCTCAGTGTAAGCTTCAAGAACAGTATCTCATTTTCTGCTTGAAATCCTGTAGCTTCTAGCACTCAACATTTGAGTTGAGTAACGCTACAGCCTGATTTTATCCTTCCATGTTTTTTAACCCAACCCCACACCCGGTCCTGTAATGACATAGGTGGTTTTCAGCATAGACTACCCATCTCTCCTACTGTCAGCTCTCATTATCACTTATTCAGCTTCTCTTCTGTGCTGGCCGAGTGTGAATAATCCCGTCATCTGCCTACCCCTTTCATCTGTCTCATGTGCTTGCTCTCTCTCGAGCACACTCTCTCCCTCTCTCCAATTCCACCTATCTGTTCACGTCTCTCCCTATTCCCTCAAAGCTCATCTTCAGCACAAGTACACATGTATTTGAGTGAGGCGTGGTCTCAGCACAGGCTTCTTACATCCTGGGACACTGTGATGGGATTTGGTCAGCTGCTAGAGTGAGAGCTGAGGGCCATGGCAAAGGATGGCTATCCTCTCCCAGTGGGTACAAAGGTGACAACTGCTTTGAACTTCTATGTTACTGTCTCCTTCCGGGGAGAGATGAGTGACCCGTGGTCGATCTCTCAATGGTGCACCCGCACATGCATTAGTACAGCGGAAAATGCCATCCCTGTAAGATTACACCAGTTCATTTTGCTTCTGATGGTGAGCTCCGCGTTATGGCTGACATCCCCCGGGTACATTGACTGCATACTGAGAGGGCTGTATCATAACACTGTGGAATTCATCAACAAGGAGGGGGTTGCATTCCATTAATGTGATGGTAGTCTGGGATCACAGTTACCACTTCCTGGGTGTCTGCCTGTTACCCTGGCAGCTACTATTACTGCTACATTTTGGAGTACTTTTTTTTTTTTTTTTTTTTTTTTTTTTTTTGGAACCTGGTGCGTTTTAAGGGTCCAGGCACCTTACATGGCTGGTTACTATGACCATGGTTGATGACCCCACTGCACAATCCCCTGGACTGATGTGGAGAACAGATAATGCAGCCCATGCTTTGACCAGGGCTGTGGAGGAACAGAGGTTCTGGATGAAGATGTGATTCTGCTGCTTGTCCAAATCTGAAGCGTGTTCTCCCCCCAACCCCAGGGTGACGAAACGTTTGCAACCCAACCCACTGGCTCAGTGAGCATGTCTACAACCTCATTGCCAACACTAGGTGCACAGAGGTCTTTTAAAACCCACCTAGTACACCGATTTTCTTCTGACAAGGGAACTTCCTGTCTCCACAATACGTGATTAATGCTTATAGTCTTGATAAGGGCCTAGGCCAATCAAACTATATTCTGTCACCAAATAACTACTACAAAACAAATAATAAAAGAAGTATTGAGGAGATACATTGGTACCAACTGAGGCATTAAATCTGGTCAAGAATATAGTAATCCCATTCCAAACAACCCTTCTACTTCTTCCCAACTTTTGATAATTGGTTGCCAAAAATGAGCCATTTCACAGAATAATTAAGCAATAACATTATAGAGATTTGTTTTCTTTGAATTCAACTATTTATCACCATGTCAGATGACTCTATCCCTGGGTGTGTTCCCATCTCATTGGCTGCATAGGCCAACCAGAGGTGAGGGATAGAGTAAATGGCACAATATCATATAGGCAAGTAGATTTAGATTTAATTGTCATGTGTACTCGAGTACAGGAAATACAGTGAAAAATGTACAAAAGTTGCCATTCTCCAAAGTCGTCATAGTATATAAAAGACAGGATCAAAAACAGAAGTAGAAATAAAAGAAACAGCCAAAAGAAAAGGAAATGTCTAGATTACTCCCTGCCTCTGCCATGAGTCCTTGCTGCCATAAAAACAAAGCCACAAAGTCCATCCCTCAGTCTGCGAATGCTCAGGTGCCCTGAATCCCCACACACTGCCTCCACCATCTGGTACCTGGGCCCAGCCACAGCGCCACTGCTGGAACCGTGTCGCCAATCTTCAGTACCATCTTGTGTCCATTGCCACCATGAGTGGGCCAATCACTGAAATGCAGCCACCGCTGAAGCAGCCTGACCCTGAGCTGGGCTCAAACTCAATATGGGGCCCACTATGCTGAAGAAGCCAGTGCCTCTTCTGCCTTCCGCTGCCATCTCCTGGGACCGCCATTTCAGCAAAGA